GGAGTATCAAAGAAGTGTGAATTTCCTAAATGTCCAAGTAGCCTCCTTATTATATATGTGATCGACAACACACCGACAAGAAGGACTCTACTAGACACAGCTCTGAGACATCCTAGGACACTTTAAAACCTTATGCTCTGATACCAAGTTTGTCACGCCTCAAACTCGGGGAGCGCGACCGACGTTCAACCGAGTGAACCCGGCTGAGCAAGCCTATTGGATTTCCTTTTACCTAGAATAATCCATGAATAAAGAGGAGATGCACACCATTAATCAAATACTGAAAAAGTTTTATTAATAACTCCAATTTCATTCCATTAGCAACTTCATTCATGCTTTCCAAAGTATTACAAGTTTATAGATATAATGAAAAACATATTTGCCAAATAGCAACATTTCTATTTCAATTGCCAACATCATACACCACCCATAACCTGTCTACGGAGCCTCTAAGTACAACAGAAGAGTAGTATGGAAGTGTCGGCAACAAGGCCCCGGCTTTACCTTAAAATACAATGTACAACTCAAATGACATTAGGCCCGGAATAGAGTAGGGCTCACCAAAACCTGTTGAATAGAGAGTGACAGCTAACGAGGATCAAAGCTGCCCGCTAATGAACCACCTGCATCCATTGAAGATGCAGCTCCCCCGGCAAAAGGGACGTTAGTACATATAGAATAGTACTAGTCTGTAAAGCTAACTGTCAACTTTCAAAATAGAATGCCAATATAAGAAAGGGAAAATCATAGAAAGAGCAAGTCATAATCAATGATATCCAAATGCCAAGTTAAAATATAATAATTTCCAAAATACGAACTTCATATACAATTTTGGTTGGGAGGTTATTAGCACCGATATATCACTTTTCACAATATCACCTTTTACAATATCAATATTCACAATACCAATACCACCGTACTTTTAGCACGGATTTCGATCACGACTCGATCGACTAGGCCATCTTATTTGAAGACATCAACAACAATCACAATATCAATCACCATTTTCTGTGCAAATATACCACCATGAATCTAGCACGGAGTTCGATTATGACCCGATCGGTTTGGCTATCTTATTTGATGACATCAACCATAATTACAATTTCCAGCACAATTACCACCATGTGTGTGACATGGTATCCGATCATAACCCGATCAGCTAGGCTATCTTATTTGATGACATCAACCAAAATCACAATTTCAATTATAATTTCCAGCACAATCACCACCATGTGTGCGACATGGTGTCTGATCACGACCCGATCACCTAGGCTGTCTTATTTGAGACATCATCCTTTTCTATCATCAATCTCATCCCAAAGAAGGGGAATAACATTTTTGATTTGCATACAAAGAAAACATAAATACATATTTCATTTACCTCATGACCTTTCATATTGTATATAGCTTCATTGGTACTTTTAACCACTTACAACATCATTATTTCATTGGCTCTCTAGGTCATATACTTGATTCTTCTTTCATGGCACAATGGCCGTATTTCATATTTCCAATTTCATTTCTTCCCTTTCATAGATCATTACCATAATTATCAACAAATAGAATATGCCGAAAATCAGAACTTTAAGTTCATTAATAATGAAGGCGTTAAACACAATAGATTTCTTTCCAAGAAATGGAGTAAAATGATTGGCAATCGAAGCACAAGTTAAAATCATACACAAATAACACATCATTTATTTTTGAAGTACTTTTCCCTAAAAAGGAAAATACACAATTTCCACTCACGAATATGTAAGAACGCAAAACATATTGAAAATACTCACAAAGCATAGCATTAGCTAAAATAGTCATATATGGGCATCACTTGAGTTCATAAGCTTTTAGGCAATTCTATTATCGAAGTCAATTTTGGAATAGTTGAATCAAAGCTCATTTCATAACCTTTCTTACATCATTTCATTTCATTGGCACCATTGGCCACATGTATAACTTTCACTCTTGGCACATTGGCCATACTTTATATCCCCAATTCACTTATTTCACTTCCAACCTTCTTTATAGATTATCAACAATGAGATATTTCCATTCAAGACTTTAGGTACACATATAAGCAATTAAGAGTCTTAATCATTTGGGGATTTTCTCATACAGTTTGGCATCATAACCTTCATTTGAAACACGACTCAAAGACATAGCATTTGAATGCACATATCATTCTTGAACTCATTCCCAAATGATTACATAATATTATAAGAACATTCGTAACACGTTTTGAATACGTAATTGTCGACATTTTGCTTATTTGGAACAATCAAATTTATTGGGAACATCTCGGAACATAGAATAAGGAACTTGATACAACCATACTTGAAACTTACGGGAACATCATGGAATTCAATTCTAAGAGAGTAGTTTAGACATCATACCTCAATTGAGCTTCCTTAAACTCTAAAATGTTCCAGAATTTTTATCAACTTCAATCTATAATAACAACATCCAATGGGACTAATATTAGTAACAATTCCATAATTTAGGCCATTTAGGCATTTTATCAAACACCTAGTAGGCATGAATCTCTACATATCTTAACCATAGAATTAGTTCACCCAACTACTATCATTTACCAATAATTTATCCCACCATCATTCTTAAATAATTCATAACTTCCAACATCACATACATGACCATCCATCCACACCTGACCAACAAAATTCCATCGAATAATCACCTTTCAATCTCTACAATGGTTATATATTTAAATTGGGAACTTATGGCTTACAGTCACCATACCATGAGTTCCTATACTTAATTGATACTCATATTCCCATAATATATCCATACATGTAAGTCTAAGGGTGTAGGATTACCTTTTGGAAGAAATCTTGCAATTCCCTCCTTTGAGTTCTTGAAGAAATTTCTTGAAGATCTATGTATTGTATGTGTAGATTACATCAATACTAGTGTAGAAGTGATGAAATTTTACACCAAAATAATGGGTATTGCTTACCTTGAAGAAGAGGAGAGTTGGTGGTCTTGAGAGAGTGTAGAAGAGCTCCAAAATTCGTCCAAATGAAATGGGGAAAATGAACCTCAAAATTGTATTGTATTAGTAGGCCCAGATTTCTGGGTTTCAGATGCTGCCATGGATGCTTCGCATCCCCACTTCACTCCTCTTTGACGTTCGGATTCATACCTAGATGCTATGGCAACACTTCACTGCCAGCCTTTCGTTCAGACGCGGCCTCGGATGCTTCGCATCCGCAGACTCCTCCGCCATCGTTTGGTAATTTGGTCATAACTTCTTGCAGGAATGTCAAAATGAAGAACGGTTTGAAGCGTTAGAAACTATACTCGAAGAAATTTAATTTTATAGTTCATCCATCACATAAATATTTATATATATGTAGATATTCTCCTCTAAAGTTTGGCCTTGTGCGTACTCATTTGAAACATTAGTCTATCATGAAATTTCCAACTTGACTTGGACGTAGGGCTCTCCTTAGACCCCGCATCACTTATAATATTCTTCGTACACTTATTATCATATCCAATTGATATCCATTATATTAAGAGTCCTCGTCTGCACACAAAATAATATAATTAGCGCATATCGACTTTCTTAATAGCGTTTAAGTACTTTGAAATTTTTCAGGGTGTTACATCAAGAAAATAAGGCATAGGCATCATAAAGCATTCTATCCAATTTATAAAGGCATCAAAAATTCTAAAACACAAGGAAGGTGAGCGCACATGCCGAAGCCTAAATATATTGCTATCAAACAAATCAAAATGGTCCCTTGGATGCATAGAAATTTTCCTTATTTTATTTCCAAATTTTCCTAATCCACTCTAAAAAGAAAATAATTCACTCGGTTCAAGTTAAATCCCGTGGAAAAGAACCGTGTCAAAAAGAAAACCCATGAGGGATTATTACTACCTAAAGAAAACTAAAAGACATGTTTTAAAAGTTTTCTAATTTTCAATTTTTGTGTGTGTTTGTTTTTGTTTAGACTTGAATCCCATAAGAAAACTATCCAGGAGATCCATCGTTGGGAAAAATCTATTTTTTTATTTCGATTTGTTTGATTTTTTCATCAAATTAAGCTACTAAAACTATTTCTATTAGGCTACAATACTAATTTTACTAACTAAGTGAATAGTAATAAGAAGCTAAAACATAAAAACAAGAAGCTAATATAATACTAATAACATGTTACTACTAATTATCTAAGAAAATCCCCAATGCATAAATAAAGCAAAAGTAACGAGGGTAGACAAGAAACACCCTGAAACTCCAAAGGCCGGAACAATAGCAGCTCATGGGGTACTCAGACTTCTCCCAAGGATGGTCCTTCTTGCGGGCACCTCACACAAGTTCCAACCAACTACCTTGCTTTTACACATCTTATGGCTTTTCTTTCTGTGCTCATAATCCTGCAAAGAAAAATAATACTACAATAATAATAAAATAAAATAAAATAAAATAAAAAAAGCACTAAAACTAGGTTGCTTCCCAACAACCGCTTAATTTAACGTCGCGACATGACATGAACCTCTTGTTCAAGCTGGTTGCTTTCGCTTCTTCCTCCTCCCATGGAGTTTTGCCTTTTTACGAGCTCTAGGATGATCTCCTTTTTCCTCTCTGACCCTTTTCTCTTTCACCTGCAACTTGCAACACCACCTCTTCTAACTTAACTTTGTTTTCAAGATTACTAAAATTCACATCAGGACATGCTTTATCAACTTCGATTCTACCACAAATATTATGCACAAATCCTCATAACGATTGGGAAGTTTAAGTGCCTTGTACACATTAAAAATGACTTCCTCATCATGCACTCTCATCTTCGTCTTACCTTCCCTTACATCAATAATTTCTCTGCCAGTAACCAAGAATAGTCGCCCCAAAATAATAGGCACCTCCTCATCTGCTTGTAATCAAGAATAATAAAGTTAACCGGAAAAATGAACTTCCCTACTCGTACTAGCGCATCCTCAATAATCCCTTCTCGCATTGCCAACGACCTATCTGCTAACTATAATATGATCGTAGTAGGTCTAGGAGCTCCCAATTCGAGTTGCTTAAAAACAGAAAATGGCATCAGATTAATAGTTTCTCCTAAATCACATAGGGCTCTAACAATCTCATGTTTCCTAATGGCCAAGGGTATTGTAAAACATTCCGGATCCTTCAGCTTTGGAGGAAGCTTACTCGTCACTATAGCACTGCACTCCTCAGTAAGTGCAACTGTTTCAAATGTTGCATGTCTCCGTTTGGTAGTCACAATTTCTCTAAGATACTTGGCATATTTAGGAACTTCCTGCAACACATCCACCAAAGGAACTCAAAATATCTAAAAATTTCTTATACTTAGCATCATCTTTCTGCTTCTGCAGTCTTTGAGGGAAATATGGTGGTAGTGTTGTGTCCATCTCTGGATTTTGTATATCATCCTTCTTTTCTGCTTCCTTCACTGGCTTAACCATCATCTCTCTTTCAAGTACAGACTTTTTAGAGGGCATCTCCTCCATTTCTCTTCCGTTTCTCAGAGTGATTTCTTGCACTTGTTCTATGGGAGATTTCTCAGTATCGCTTGGGAGAGCTCCATCTGGTTTGTTCTATGGGAGATTTCTCAGTATCGCTTGGGAGAGCTCCATCTGGTTTGTTCTATGGGAGATTTCTCAGTATCGCTTGGGAGAGCTCCATCTGGTTTGTTCTATGGGAGATTTCTCAGTATCGCTTGGGAGAGCTCCATCTGGTTTAATATTTTGATTTGCAACCAACTGGACAACTTGCCTCTCAAGATTTCTACAATCAATCCTGAATTGCTGATTCTCAAGCAACAACTTATTTAATAGGTCATTCGTACTCTCCTCTATTTGTTGGGGTGGCTTATGAGGTTGGTTGTAATTTCCTTGGCATCTATACTAATTCTTAGTAGTTTGATTTCCACCCGAGGAGAAGATAGGGTGTTTTCTCCAATTTGGGATGTATGAGTTCCCATATTATGCATTTTGATTTATCAGAACCTTACCTTGTTTCCCCATATAATAGATGGATTCAGAATTCGAGGGACATATGTCACTTATGTGATGTTCTCCACATAACACGCAACAAGTGAACATCTGTTGTGCATGTTGCATCTGTTGCGCTTGTTGCATTATCATCTTCTTCACCTGATATGCTAACTTCGCTATATCTGCTCTCATGGCTGAGAAATCATCAAGCTCAATAGCACATGCTGCCTTATGTTTAAGTGCACTTCGTGGTTCCCCATATCCTTGCCAATTGTTATCATTAGCAGTTGTCACGACCCAAAATCCCACATTAGGCGTCGTTTTGGCATCTAGTCTCTAAGACTAGGTAAGTGAATTACTTACAACAGTTGAGCCAGTTTAACAATGATATTTTAAAGCAGAATTTAATATAAATTCCAAAATAAAGGTGAAACAAGACTACACGACAATAATCATAACAACCTCCCAAGACTAGGTAATTCAGAGTCCCAAACTCTAGATGGATACATAGAAATATCTCAAAATCAAAATACAATACTGTTCGGATAACGAATTGACAGTACAATCAAAAGGAAAAGGACTCCAAGGGACTGCGATGACCAAGAAACTCTACCGTGAATCCTCGTAATCAAGAAGCTAACTCTGCCTGGGTCCGTTATCTCCAATACCTAGATCTGCACAAAAATGTGTAGAAGCGTAGTACGAGTACAACACAATCAGTACCAAGTAAGTATCAAGACTAACCTAGGTGGAGTAATGACGAGGTACAAGTCAAGATACCTAATAGTCATCATAACCTATGTAGTATATATAATTATAAAGCTAATAATGGAAGTAAGAAACAATAAATGGCAACAAGGAATACACATATGATAAAAACAGTAAAGTAATCAGAACACCGTTAAGGTACCAGTGAAATCAAATAAGGTAAACAAATGAAAACTGATAATCAAGTTGTTCCAGCATAAGTTTCACAACAATAATACTCCGAGATACCTCATCTCAAAATTACAAGTCAGGAGTCCCAATTCAAAAATCTTATACTCATGGCACCTTGTTCCCACATTATTAATCACAACCGTACGGACAACTCACGTGCCAATATCTCAATCCGCCCGACATTGTCATAGGCTCACTGTCACCATCCGTTCGGCATGGTCACATGCTCAATATCACAATCTACCCGGCATGGTCACAGACTCAATATCACAATGGAAGCAAATAATACAAGAATACATATGCAAGATCAATGAATGTCAAGTTTCATACTTATAATTACAATCCAAGCCCACAAGAAATATTAAAGACATCGAGTAGCTCATTGGAAACAACATCACAAGTCACGTAAGGTGCATGACATACACAAAGAAAAATCACACCATCACACGAATATCATTAATATTTTGCCTTCAGGCAGTCAGATATCATCCTTCTATAGCCACCCTTATCTCTCTGTATTGACAATATCTTAATAGCCACCCGTATCGCTCCACCCAAACATTCAACACAATAGCCACTCGTATCACTCAGCCCAGACAATAACACAATAGCCACCCGTATCACTCCGCCCAGGCAATAACACAATAGCCACCCGTATCACTCCGCCCAGGCAATAACACAATAGCTACCCGTATCACTCCGCCCAGACAATATGTCAATAGCCACCAGTATCACTCCACCCAGCTAATATATCAATAGCCACCCGATCACTCCGCACAATCAATAATAATGAGGTTCCACCCTCATGCTCCGCATAGCAATAATCAATCCACACACAAATTCACATGTTTTAACATCACAATAACACAACATATCAATTCGTACCTTAAGTACCCATAGGCCACAACCTTTCCAAAACAACAATACTGCTGTCACCACAACACATAGCCGACAGCTCAACCACGATGTGAACAAGAATCTCAATAAGAACAGAATGAAAAGAAAAATAACTCAACAATGAAGAATACACCACAATACAACAAGTTCAACTAAAACATGTTAATAACTCTCAATAAATCCATCTTTCATTACTTGCTTATGAATGAACTTAACAATGAAAGGCATAATGTATACTAACAACTTTAATTGAATACATATAAGAGTAACTCAACAATGATGGATAGAACATGTACTAACAACTTCGGTTAAAGCATAATAAACTTGACAATGAAAGATATAGCATGTAATAGTAACTTCAATTAAGACACATAAGAGTAAGCTCGACAATGGAAGCTATAGAATGAAATAACGACTACAATCTAAGCATATAAGAATGAATTCAACAACGAAAGATGTAACAAGAAATAACAACTTCTAATTAAATGCATAAAGTAAACTAAGACTCTAAACCAACCAATTTTGCAACCAATAAGCGGGGTACACATTCGTCACCTCATGTACACGTCTTCCCCATAATTCAAACAATACAATCAACCCAAATCGTAAAGGGTAGTTCCCCCACATATTCTTAGGCAAGATACTTACCTCAATGAAGCTAAACCAATACTATAAATAGCCTTCCCCGTGTGAAACAACCTCTAGATGGCTTAAATCTAGCCAAAATAACTTAATATCATAAAGCCATAGGAAACAATTTCGGATAATAAAGCTTCGATCTTTAATGAAAACCCAAAAGTCAATCCAAAACGTCAACCCCAAGCCCGCACCTCGGAACCCGTCAAAATTAACAAAATCCAAACACCTACTCCGATACGAGTCCAACCATACCAAAATCATCCAATTGCGACCTCACATTGGCCTTCAAATCATCATTTTATATTTTAGAATGTTTTTACAAAAATCTCCAATTTCTCCAATTCAAATCACTAATTAAATGATAAAATCTAGGATGGAATAATGAAATATAACCAAATCCGGGTCAAGAATACTTACACCAATCCAAAACCTGAAAATCCCCTCCAAAATCGCCCAAATCCGAGCTCTCTAACTCAAAAAGTGATAAAATAACAAAAGCCCTCAAAATAGAGTAAATATAAGTCTGCCCATGTATTACTCATCGCGATCGCGGAACTACCTTCCCGATCGCGGAAATACCATCGCGATCGCGAATACAAAAGTAACCTAGTTGCCAAAATGTTCTTCGCGAATGCGTAATTCCAGTCGCAAACGCGACCCACAATCTCCAGCAACCTACGCGAACGCGGTGTCTATCACGTGAACACGGATAAAAAATCTCCTGATGCCCCTTCCAGCTATCCTTATTCTGATCGCGTAACCGAGCACGTGAACATGATGACTAAAGTCTTCCAAGCTTCGCGAACGCATGGTCATCATCGGGAACGTGATGTACAAAATGCCTGCCTCTATATTGCAATACGCGAACGTGGTCCCTTATTCATGATCACGATGAAGAAAACTAGGTATCAGAACCAGCAGTTCAAAACATGAGAAAATGGCCCGTAGCCTATCCGAAACACACCTGAGGCTCCCGGGACCCCGTCCAATCATACCAACCATTCAAATAACATAACGCATACCTACTCAAATTACGTTAAAACTATGAATCATACCTCAATTCAAGCCTAACGAATTAATGAACTTTCAACTTCTTCAACTCGCACCGACTCATATCAAATTAACCCGAAATGACCTCAAATTTTGCATGCAAGTGCCAAATGACACAACGGAGCTATACCAACTCCCAAAATCATAATTTGAACCCGATATAAATAAAGTCAACTCCCGGTCAAACCTTTCTACCTTTAGAACCTTCAACATTCGAACGTTCGTTAAAAAGCATCAAATCAACCTACAGACCTCCAAATCCAAATCCAGACTTATGCCTAAGTCCAAAATCACCATACGAAACTATTAGAATCATCAAAACACCATTCTTGAGTCTTCTGCATAAAAGTCAAACTCTGGTCAAATCTTACCACTTGATCTTCTAAACTGAGAATCATCCTTCCATATCAACTCCAAAATGCACGAAAACCGAAACCGACCATACACATAAGTCATAATACACAATATGAAGCTACTCGAGACCTTAAAACACCGAATGAAATGCTGAATCTCAAAACGACCGATCGAATCGTTACATTCCCCCTTATTAAACAAATATTCGTCCTCGAACGTGCCATGAACTGTTCCAAAGTCATCAAATCAATGAATGAACTCACCCTACACATACTCATGGGTGATCCCACGTCACCCCAATCAACATAAGCCCGACAACACTATCTCAACTGATGATTGTTCTTGCCATCCGTACTGATAGGCCTTAGAACCAAATTTATACATTCGATTATTCCCCAAAGACCCGATTCCCACATAAACACACTGTATCAACCTCAACCAGCTGCAACAGCTCATGCATACACCCACAAGGTATAACTACACGATGTAACACATTGTCTATATCCCCGTAGCAACAACTCTGACTGCAATTACTATCCATTACTAAACTCGATACCGGTAAATACCCTCATATCGACTAGACCCTTGTTCCAAACCTTCACAACGCTGACAACGATGCAATAAATATGTGAAAC